AAGATAAAAATAGTTAAAAATTATTTATATTTAAAAACAAAAAATATGTGTACTTTTTTTACTTATAATAGAATAGAGAAAATATTAGTTTTTTTTTTTTATATTTTATTTGCCGATATGAAAGCAAATCTAATCATTATGTTAAAGGGGAAAAAAAAACTTGCATGTCAACGAATCTAGATTAAATCTGTAGAATTTGAATAAATTCATATTATTTTCTAGTTCAACAAAATTCCCTTTTTTTTTTGTAATGATTGGTGTAAATTAATCATGCTTAAACTGTTTAAAAGGATTAAGCAATATCAAGTTACCATTATTTAATGAGTATCTAAAAACTGTGTGAGGAATATTGTTGCAATCATTATTAAAAGGCATACGTAAACAGTAAACATTCCCCTTCTGGATGAAAACTATATAAACTAAGAAGTCGTAAAAGCAAGTTGCTATAACTATGTAGTTTATTTAATTATTTGACCAAAACCAATAAAAATAATAATTAACACGACATACTAGCAGTAGTTAAAATGAAATCAATGATGGATCATATATAGATGGCACGTGATTGTCTCGTATAAGAGAGGTAACAGAGACCACGTTAGTTGCATGAAATTGAAAGGTACAACACCACTGGAGAAAAGAATCCAGCTACATGGCCCCTGGAATCCACAATGTTTATTTGTTCATCACACATGATCTATTTTTGTATCCAACTGCAACATAATGAATGTTTAGAATCTGAACTAAGAGCATGTTCAGGATTTCTCGGAGTCCACACATGGGTCCTATGTATATATGATCGATCAATCCAATTTTAATTTTCTGTCCACACACAGAGCTCATGATCTTCAAGGGCTAGCTTATAGTTTTATCTTCTTCTTACTTCAAAGGAACTTGGATGAGTATGGAAACGTGGGGTTCTTTCTACCAACAAATTAATTATATGGGACTATGGGGTCATAATCGATTGAGTCACGCCACAATTATGGCTTTGGTGGGATATTTTTTATTTCAAGACAAATCAGTACGTGTCAAGTGCTTATAAGTTGGTTATGTATAACTTATAACATGTCATGTGCTTTATTTCACGGTTAAATCTTTGGAGTAAAGATAGGTTGATTTTAAGATGTCAAATATAAAAATACGAGTTTAAGTCAGGAAAGTAATTTGTATTTGACTGGGATATATCTTTTGTGTAAATTAAAAATATACAAGTTTAAGTTTATTTATTTTTAATGTATTATTAGTGTAAAATGCTTATTATTTATTAACAAAAAAAAAACTACAACAAATATGACTTTATTATTAATGTTTAACCCGTAAAAATTATGTTTTGCGAGTGTAAATTAATTGTCAGTTGTTTAGTTTTAAATTATGTTTAGTTTTTTTCTGAAAGCATTTAGAATTTAAAATTTATGCATGGACAATGTTACATTATCATTAAAAATTGTCAAGTGTAATTTTATCTCAACAATTACCGTTGATTTTCAATCTCACCCATTATTAACTAAAAAGTTGTAAAAACTCTTGTGTGATGTGGAGGCATTGATTTGTCTTGTTGGGTTATACTTGCATGAATTTTAGAAAGGACATAATCAAACTACTAAAATTAAACTAATGATTAAAAGAGAAGAGAAGAGATCTGAGTAAAAATATGAAAATTTAGTATGTTTGGATTCACGTAACCGATTCATGTTTTAACTGATTTGACGCAAAAGTAAAAAATTATAGCATTTTATTTTTGCATTTTTTTTATGCAAGTTAAGTCTGGAAAACGAGAAACCAAACACACTGTTAGATTCAAATTTTATAGCTGTCTTTATAATATTTTTGTTGGATAAAAATAAAAAAAGTAAAGGACATAATCAGAAATTTGTAAATGAGGCCCGCCCATTGTCCTTGGACGCGTTCTCATCGTCTTTGGGTTTAGGGCCTAAGGCCCACTCTTTACCTCGTCCGTTGAACTCACCCTTTCTTTCACTTTATGCATTTAATATCTTAAACTAGCTACTGGTTTTAGAGGTACATCAAATCTAAGGTACGTATTGCATTTTATTTGGAATCATAGGCTCTGTGACCAAAATATACACTATGTATATGGAAGAAAATTACTATTATTTTTAGAATCATAGAGCTACACCTAGCATTATTTTATTGTTTTTTCTTGATGGTTTTCTGAATTTTCTATACCCAGTTGGATTTACTTCGGAGTTTAAATTTAGATTTTCAAGAACGTTGAGATGGGTATTTTTTTTATCCCAATTTCGTATTAGAGCCTTCGGTTTCTCAGTGAAACTTCGAAATATTTCTGCAATTTTTTTTTGTGTCAATTATGAAACTAATCTCATGTTTGTTTCAAGTTATGAAAAATATTTTTAAAAAAAATAATGATACGTGTATAACAAATTATATTATTTTTTTCTTTACCTCTCTATTACATCATGTATGACAAATTAGTATAAAAAAAAAAAACACTTTGTGGCATTATATATTTTGTTTTGAAAAATAAATAAAAAGGTAAGTGTGAAGTTTTAACAAAATTAGAATATAGAAAAAATCGGAATAGAAGAGGTGTTTGTGCTTAAAAAAAATGCAAAAATAACAATTTTATAAAAGGGTTTTATTGTAATTGTGCTATTTTAAAAAAAATAATGGAAATGTATAATTAAAAAAGTGATCGCTATCCACTTATAAACAATGACCCATGAACCAAGTATCTTGGTTAAGTGGTTATAAGGTCTACTTTGAAACATGCGGAATCGATTTGGTGGTTTTATATTTAATTTTCGTCAATAATGCTTGATTAACGAGAATTATATCTTATAAATATAATTTAAATTTGGTATACTATGTGAACAATATACATAATTAAAAAATAATATAAAAAAAATTCACAATGATCTTATAACTAATCGGTCTACTATAAAACTCATCTAATTAAAAATTAGACCTAATTATAATTAAAGTTTTCAAACATTATAATTATATACTTTTAGTAGTTTGAATTTCAATCACACAAATTGAGTCATTTAATTATTAAATTTATATGATTTTAATTCTTTCACTCATCTCTTGTTAAATAAGTATTTAACAAGATTTTATTAATATCGTATTTAATGATAACATAACAACTAATATTTCACTTAACATATATTAACTAACATGATTTAATTATATTTTTATTTCTTACTATTGCAATATTAGAGAAACTTAAATTATAGTTAAGTCATATCAACATGCAAAACGTCTCTAATAATAACATTTTGTCATCAACAAAATTTTATTAAATATTTAATAAAAGATTTACATCAAGATCATATAATTATCATATTAATAGACTTATTCGCATAATTAAAACTTAAAATACCAAAATCACAACATCATAATCGAAAGAATAAAAAGTATAATTAAACCTTTTTTTTTCATTTTAAAATAACAACTCTCTTCTTTTCTATAAAAAGTGGATAAACAAATTTAACAAGATGAAGTTTAATTGCTTGCATCTCTTCGACCACACCGAAGGCCAACTCGTTTTGAATTTGTGCACATTGCTAACGAGGCAAATGTCAAAATGTTTGTATATTTTATTGTTTTTAACCTTTTAGCATAGGCAAATGTCAAAATATTAATATTAGTATTTCTAAGCCAATGAATTTTTCATATATAGAGAAATGATTTCTCAAAAAAAAAAAAACATTCCACCCTATTTTATGGGCATTAACTTTGTTTTTTCTTTATATGATAAAAGAAACTTTGGATATTATTGTCCAAAATATTTTATTTATTTATTTTTAATTAGCATATTTTGTCAAAACATGTAGATTTTTTTTAATTTTTTTTATAAAAGACAATTTCATTCAAGTTAAAAATAATATTAATAACGCAACTGATTAAGAGTATATTTGAATATTAATTTACATTCCTTTAACAAACTTTTGAACTGCTAAATTTAGTTTTTCACCATATTTTTTGTGTCTTTAAAAGTCATTTTTGCCAACGTTTTACCTAAAATTGAGTTTGAATCAAAAGCAACGTACAACTTGTTTTTGAAAATTAATTTTCGCTTAGTAATATTTATTCAACATATTTTTGAACAAAAATCATCTAAATATAAAATCACATTATATTATTTTTTATTTTATACATATCAATCTTAATATTACAGTTTATTTTCTATTAAAATTTGTCTTTGCAAAATCATTAGGGTTAGCCTAATGGTTGAGTGGGGAGAGATTGAAATAGTTAAGAGCATGAAAACCTGTGTTCAATCCTCATTATAATCATCTTTATAATTTTTCATATCTTTAAAAAAGAAAAAAAAACTTGTCTTTGCATACTTTAGTCCAAACATTCACTAATAATTCTTTGAATCTTTTTACTTGTTTAAAGGTTTTGAATTTGAAATATCAAGTTTGTTTATTTTTTTTAATAAAATAAATAAATAAAATTTTTAAGGTACTTATATACTTTATTTTCATTTAAAACAAGTACTTTAATGTTCTTTTAGGAAGCAATCTTTATTTATTTTTTAAAAGAATTATTTATTAAAAATCACTTTTTCCGAAACTCTCCCTCTCTCTTTTTTTTTTTTTTTTTTTTTTTTTTTAGTTCAAACATCCATTAACTAAAAGAAATTAAACATATTATCATTTGATCGAATCGCATGTTAGGTTTTCACTTTTACACATTATAAATATAAGCTTCAAAAACCTTAAAATTTGAAAATCAAACATAATAATCTAACAAGTACTATTAATTTTTTAACACTTTTATTAAAGAAAATATAAAGACATGAAATGTCTTATCCTACTAATTTATATATAAAGTTAATTCTTTGTTTTAGTGTATATAATATTTTGACAATTTTAATATTTTATAAAAATCATATAAATTACATGATAATGATATATAAATGACATAAAAGTCATTTTACATAAAAAATTATCTTTAAAACTATGGGTAACTATATTCTACTCCCACTAATATGTCTGTAATCGAAAGAAACAAAGAAATACCTATTTTTTGACTAGTTAATAATTAAGCATTTGTCTTTGATATAATTTTAAATTTGTATAATCCTCATAAGTTCTGAAAGAAGGTGATAAAGTTGAGTTGAATAGCGGTTTATTAAAAGCAAAGTCCATTACTCCAAATAGAGAAATTGCATTTGTGATTCTTGAAAATGAGTGGAAGTGGAGTGGTGGTGGGTATGGTATTGTTTGTGTTTGTGAAGCATGTGAGTGCAGAAGCAGAAGAGCATCTTCCTCGCGTAGTCACGCCGTTTCCCGCGCCCAAGATAACAGAGCTTCCTCAGGTCAATTTTCATCCTTTTTCTTCTTTTTCTTCATTTTGCTGAGTGTTGTCAGTTGTGGTTGTGGCAGTTTCAAGGTGTCCATAAGGAGACTTTGTACTGGGGAACTTATCGCCCCCAGCTCTATCTCGGAATCCGTGCCAGGTATTCAATTCAAATATATTTATTCAATAAAAATAGTTTTCTAATCATTAAATATATTTTAAATAATTAATTAATTATATAAAGCAGTAGGGGTTGATCCACGTTTAAGCAAGGTCAGGAGTTTGAATCTTGCATTATGTATGCAGCCGCATTAAATCTTGAAGCAGCTATCCCACCCTTTAAGGTGCCTAAAAAAAAATAAAATTAATTACATTATAAAAAATACTGAAATAAAATTTTATTCGGAAATAGTTCTATATGTTTACTTATAAACTTTAGTTATTTATTTATTTATTTATTTATTACAAATATTTTCCTATTTTAAAACCTAACACATTATTTTTAAAAAGCGTTTAGCCTTAATTTTAATTTTTTTCCCCTCGAGATTAATCATATCTTAACATGTACGCACTTTTGTTAATGGTGAAACCAAAGCATAGACTATTTTGGTGGTTCAAGTTTTGTGCTTCTACATTTGAATTTTAAAAATAGAAGATGCCTACAGGAAAAAAGAAAAAAAAGAAAGTACAGTATTCATCTTTGATTTAAGACGGTTTATGTTTACGAAAGTATTTTAGCCCTATATTTTATAGGCTTAATATTGATTATATATAATTAATATTTATAATAATTTATATATAAATAAATAAAAATATTTAATATATGTAAATTATATTTAAAATTAATATAAATAAATATTTTTAAATATATAAT